AGTGTGGTTAAGAGTCGGCAGGCAAACAAATGTCCAGACCCGGGAGAGTCAGGAGCAGAGTGAGAGACGGGTCTTGAGCATTTGAACGAGGGAGTAGAAATAGGGGCCTGGTTGAGATACTTGAGTTTGGTTGAATTTATGTGGTTCTTGTTGAAAGTTAGTGTCTTGCCTCTGGAGCATACTTCAAAAAGTCCTTGGAAAGTCTTTGAAACTTTTTCAGTTTTCCACAAACTTCTTGATGCTTCCTGTATGATTTTTAAATCCTCATGGGCTCAGGTGTGAAAAAACCCTTTATTGTGACACACACTTCGATTTGGTGCGTCTCCTTCGGAGCCTTGACGTTCCTTTTCTATCATCACCCTGGTCCATCCGGGGACGAAGGGCAACTGTTGGGGGACCTCTGTGTTTTCCTGGAGTCACATTGTCTTCAGGCCCCTGTTGGTGAAAGTGCGTCTTTGTTTTTAAGAATCAGGCTGGATTCTGTAAGATGTTTGGTAGGTTGTGCTTTTATTTTTAGAGTACAACTAGCCAAATAAGCTTTTGTAACTTTCTTACTTTTCCACCCTAGATGGTCCTTTATCTGACCCAACTATGATCCGTGGCAGTGTGCCAAACCAGATGATGTCCCGGATAAGTGCACAGCCGAGTAAGTTGTCAAAGAACCCTCCGTGCCCAGTACTGGAGTCTCTGCCTCCTGCCTTTGAGAAGCCTGAAAACGTCTCTTGGAATTGTCGTTCAGAGCAGTAGACACAAGGGTGGGTGGTGAGGTGTTAGGTCTACAGGCTTGAGTGAATGGACAGCGCCCTTCTGTGGTTTCTGTCAGTGTTGCAGTTCTCAGGTTGCAAACAGGTTTCTTTATTTGTCATAAAATGATATACAATCAGCAAAAAGAGTTGTACTGTTCTTTATTCTTTAATTCCATGTAGGTGCTCGTTCTCATACGGTGCATGTGTTCACAGATATGAATCAATTTGGCCAGATGGGCATGGCTCAGCCACCGATGGGCCCCCGGCAAACCTCTCCTCTACAGCACCACGGACAGTTGGGGCAGCCTGGAACACTCAACCCGGTCAGTTTGCTCAGAGTTGTCTGTTTGGCCTTTCTTTGACATTTAAAATAGCTGTTTGTCTACTTAACAAATTAAAATCCTCATACTTGTGGAAATAGTGAGCTGTATCTTAACTTACTGATGTCCTGCTTCTGTAATTCTGTTGTGCTTGGTTCTTAATAATCAAGTGCATATGTGTATTTGATGGGTGAAAATAATTATTGAAAGAATGGAGCAAAGTACACCGTTTACTACATACAATTTTGGTAAAATACTGAAATTCTTAAAATTTGCTCTATTTAGGTCCAAATAAGGCATGTACATGTGTACATAAATTTACATATGAGGATGTGGAAATAGATCTATGTGCATAAATGTATGCGTTTAGTATTAAGGTAGCAAGTGGACATTGGGCCTCCACTCAAGTACTCCCTCCATTTAAGAACACTTTGTTCTAATAAACTGGCATTCTATGATGTTAACCTTCCTGACACGATCGCCAAAGACAGTGGGTGCATAAGCAAATGTGAAGAAAGCTGAGGGTGCCTGGCTATCAAAAGATATAAAATCTAGGGTCTTAAAGGCTTGAAGGTAAACAAGCGGCCATCTAGCTCAGAAGCAACAAAGCCCACATGGAAGAAGCACGCCAACCTGTGCGATCACGAGGTGTTGAAGGGATGAAGCATCAGGCATCATCAAAACAAAAAATCTTGTCATTGTAAATGAGGGGAAGTGTAGAGTGGAGACCCAAAGCCCATCTGTGGGCAGTTGGACGGCCCCTTACGGAAGGGCCGCAGGGAGGAGACAAGCCAATTGGTGCAGTATAGCAACGATGAAACATACAAATTTCCTCTAGTTCCTGAATGCATCCTCCCTACCCCACTATCGTGATCCTAATTCTACCCTACAAATCTGCCTAGACTAGAGGATATACACTGGTACAGAGAAGAACTGGAAACTGAATCCAGAGCGTATGATCCCTTCAGGACCAGTGGTATGAGTGGCGATACGGTAGCGTGGAGGGAAGGTGGGGTGAAAAGGGGGAACTGATCACAAGAATCTACATGTGCCCTTCTCCTTGGGGGGACAGACAACAGAAAAGTGGGTGAGGGGAGACGTTGGACAGGGCAAGATATGACAATAATAATTAATAAATGATCAAGGGTTCATGGGGGGGGAGCCGGGGAGGGAGGGAAGAAAAATGAGAACTTGGTGCCAGGGGCTTAAGTGGAGAGCAAATGCTTTGAGAATGATGAGGGCAATAAATGTACAAATGTGCTTTAGACAATTGGTGTATGTATGGATTGTGACAAGAGTTATATGAGCCTCTAATAAAATGATTTTTTTAAATTGCTTTATTTACCTTATAAATTTATCCTATGGAAATCGCCATCAAAATGATATAAAGAATAATTTGAAAAAATTTCCACTAAAGTAATTTGTACTATACATTCTGTCATGGAAAAGCTACCATATCCTGAAGTGAATTCGACTCTTGTAAAAGAATGGTTTACATCCATAGTACAATTTATAATTTTTAAAAACTTAACAGAAGCAGCCAGTTCCATGCTCTTGCGGTTGTTTTTTAGTTACAGACTTTGACTCAGTCGTCTTTTCTCTAATATTCATTTTCCCAAACCCAGAACCTCCCAGACAGTGAACCTTTCCCTCTGTTGCAAAGGGTTAGAGCAGTGGTTCTCAACCTTCTTAATGCCGCTGCCCTTTATTTTTTATTTTTTATCATTTTATTAGGGGCTCATACAACTCATCACAATCCATACATACATCAGTTGTGTAAAGCACATTTGTACAGTCATTGCCCTCATCATTCTCAAAATGTTTGCTCTCCACTTAAGCCCTTGGCATCGGCTCCTCATTTTCCCCTCCCTCCCCGCTCCCCCTCCCTTATAAACCCTTGATAATTTATAAATTATTATTTTGTCATATCTTGCACTGTCTAATGTCTCCCTTCACCCACTTTTCTGTTGTCCATCCCCCAGGGAGGAGGTCACATGTAGATCCTTGTAATCGGTTCCCTCTTTCCAAACCACCCTCCCTCCCTCCACCCTCCCAGGATCGCCACTCACACCACTGGTCTTGAAGGGACTATCCGCCCTGGGTTCCCTGGGTTTCCAGAGGAACCACACAGTACTTTCATGGAGTCATTCCTTCTATACTGAACCCAAAACCCTCTATTCAACTAGAGATGATTTTATTTTAGTGTTGTTCTATATTTGCAATTTGTCCCGTTATCTTTCACTTGATATGTTTATAATAAACAAATGGGTAAATGTTAATATTTTGGGTTTTTTTCAATGTAATACATATATACTATATAAAATGATGTACACTATTGTACATCAATATACTGTAACAAAAATTTAGGAGCCCTGGTGGTGCAGCAGTTAGAGCCCACCAGTGATTCTGTGTGAGATAAAAACACCTGGCATTCTGCTCTAAAGAGATTATAGCTTAGGAAATCCTGTGAGGCAGCTCTACTCTGTCTTAGAGGAGCGATAAAGAGTTGGGATTGACTCAGTGGCACACATCAACAACAAAAGATTTGAGAGAATCGTGTTTTTCTATTTCCAGCGTTCAAGCCATATTTCCCACTCCGGACCCTGCTGCTTTAAAAGACAGACGGATGGAAAATCTAGTTGCATATGCTCGAAAAGTGGAAGGGGACATGTATGAATCTGCAAATACTCGGGTGGGCATCAGTTTTTCTTTTCTTCATATGTTCAGAAATGGGAAATGTCCTGGTGGTTTTAAAGGGGCCTGTTACTTATCCTGTCTTACTCACCATTGAAGTACAGTCACAAGAAATTGTCTTTAAAACTACATCAAGTATGTGAAGCTTGTACTCTTCATAATGAAATGCATTTAGGGGACTTTGTCTCGTGGTCCTTCTGTCAACATGAAACCAGTGTTATATTCACTTGTATATATACCATCTCAAGTGGAAGTCTCTTGTCTACATCAGTTGAACTGTCTCTTTTTAAATTGTCTCCTAAAGCTCATGTCTCCCCTTCCTATAATTGCTAGGACATCCTTGATAAACCTACTTTGGGCTCCTGCTTTACCATGCAGTTTCACAATCAGGCTGCGGATCACCTGATCATGTGAAACATGAGTTCATGTTTGTACTAATATAAGACGATAGATTAGAATCTTTCACTTTTGTTTTCTCTTTACTTCTCATAAGCTCATCTGTTGTTTTGCTTTGTTGATGTTTCCTAGAGGTATTTTATTTTTTTCTTCATCACTATTATTTGATTGAATATAAACAGGCGGAGTACTATCACTTGCTTGCGGAAAAGATATATAAAATTCAAAAAGAACTAGAAGAAAAACGAAGGACTAGACTGCAGAAACAGAGCATGCTCCCAAATCCTGCAGGCATGGTTCCAGTTCCCATGAATCCAGGGCCTAACATGGGACAACCACAATCAGGAATGACTTCCAGTGAGTACTTTTTCTTCTACTTATGGAGATATTGGCAAGAAAATGATATAATAAAAGCAAAGTGAACATTGCATTAAGATTCTGAGACTTGGTGCTTAGCATCTCTGGGTAGCCTGGAATCATTTTTAGAGCCCAAGATGGTCTTCTCTCATAGATTTTCTTGGTTTTTATGGTTGATTCTCTTTCATCAGATCCCATAGGCTTCCACAAAGCTTGTTCTGAGACCCGGGCTTTCCTGGAAGGTAGTGCATTCCAAGCAGTGAACTCTGACTTGAGCTCCAAATAATGGGGAAGAGCACAGGCACTCACTGTGGGAAAGGCTGGGAAAAGGGTAATCCTACATTTGTTGAGTCAGAGAAAGCTATTTCCTGTAGGAAGTGCCGCATGAGCCAGCAGGTACCAACTCCCTGGAGGTGCAAACCGGTGGCTTCTGGATTACTGAGCCCCTCAGCCAGGGGTAGTAAAGCTGGGAACCATTGGTTGTCGGGCAGTGGCTTTCAGCAGCCTCGTTAGTTCATGGTAGGGTGCCATCCAGGTACGTTTTTCTAATTGGGGTATGAGGTGAATCCAGTTGGGAAGAACCAACAGCATTCCTGGCAGAGGGAACGTCCTGTCTGGAGACCCAAGGACCAGGTCCAGGAAAACATGGGTGTTTTTCAGTGTGGTTAAGAGTCGGCAGGCAAACAAATGTCCAGACCCGGGAGAGTCAGGAGCAGAGTGAGAGACGGGTCTTGAGCATTTGAACGAGGGAGTAGAAATAGGGGCCTGGTTGAGATACTTGAGTTTGGTTGAATTTATGTGGTTCTTGTTGAAAGTTAGTGTCTTGCCTCTGGAGCATACTTCAAAAAGTCCTTGGAAAGTCTTTGAAACTTTTTCAGTTTTCCACAAACTTCTTGATGCTTCCTGTATGATTTTTAAATCCTCATGGGCTCAGGTGTGAAAAAACCCTTTATTGTGACACACACTTCGATTTGGTGCGTCTCCTTCGGAGCCTTGACGTTCCTTTTCTATCATCACCCTGGTCCATCCGGGGACGAAGGGCAACTGTTGGGGGACCTCTGTGTTTTCCTGGAGTCACATTGTCTTCAGGCCCCTGTTGGTGAAAGTGCGTCTTTGTTTTTAAGAATCAGGCTGGATTCTGTAAGATGTTTGGTAGGTTGTGCTTTTATTTTTAGAGTACAACTAGCCAAATAAGCTTTTGTAACTTTCTTACTTTTCCACCCTAGATGGTCCTTTATCTGACCCAACTATGATCCGTGGCAGTGTGCCAAACCAGATGATGTCCCGGATAAGTGCACAGCCGAGTAAGTTGTCAAAGAACCCTCCGTGCCCAGTACTGGAGTCTCTGCCTCCTGCCTTTGAGAAGCCTGAAAACGTCTCTTGGAATTGTCGTTCAGAGCAGTAGACACAAGGGTGGGTGGTGAGGTGTTAGGTCTACAGGCTTGAGTGAATGGACAGCGCCCTTCTGTGGTTTCTGTCAGTGTTGCAGTTCTCAGGTTGCAAACAGGTTTCTTTATTTGTCATAAAATGATATACAATCAGCAAAAAGAGTTGTACTGTTCTTTATTCTTTAATTCCATGTAGGTGCTCGTTCTCATACGGTGCATGTGTTCACAGATATGAATCAATTTGGCCAGATGGGCATGGCTCAGCCACCGATGGGCCCCCGGCAAACCTCTCCTCTACAGCACCACGGACAGTTGGGGCAGCCTGGAACACTCAACCCGGTCAGTTTGCTCAGAGTTGTCTGTTTGGCCTTTCTTTGACATTTAAAATAGCTGTTTGTCTACTTAACAAATTAAAATCCTCATACTTGTGGAAATAGTGAGCTGTATCTTAACTTACTGATGTCCTGCTTCTGTAATTCTGTTGTGCTTGGTTCTTAATAATCAAGTGCATATGTGTATTTGATGGGTGAAAATAATTATTGAAAGAATGGAGCAAAGTACACCGTTTACTACATACAATTTTGGTAAAATACTGAAATTCTTAAAATTTGCTCTATTTAGGTCCAAATAAGGCATGTACATGTGTACATAAATTTACATATGAGGATGTGGAAATAGATCTATGTGCATAAATGTATGCGTTTAGTATTAAGGTAGCAAGTGGACATTGGGCCTCCACTCAAGTACTCCCTCCATTTAAGAACACTTTGTTCTAATAAACTGGCATTCTATGATGTTAACCTTCCTGACACGATCGCCAAAGACAGTGGGTGCATAAGCAAATGTGAAGAAAGCTGAGGGTGCCTGGCTATCAAAAGATATAAAATCTAGGGTCTTAAAGGCTTGAAGGTAAACAAGCGGCCATCTAGCTCAGAAGCAACAAAGCCCACATGGAAGAAGCACGCCAACCTGTGCGATCACGAGGTGTTGAAGGGATGAAGCATCAGGCATCATCAAAACAAAAAATCTTGTCATTGTAAATGAGGGGAAGTGTAGAGTGGAGACCCAAAGCCCATCTGTGGGCAGTTGGACGGCCCCTTACGGAAGGGCCGCAGGGAGGAGACAAGCCAATTGGTGCAGTATAGCAACGATGAAACATACAAATTTCCTCTAGTTCCTGAATGCATCCTCCCTACCCCACTATCGTGATCCTAATTCTACCCTACAAATCTGCCTAGACTAGAGGATATACACTGGTACAGAGAAGAACTGGAAACTGAATCCAGAGCGTATGATCCCTTCAGGACCAGTGGTATGAGTGGCGATACGGTAGCGTGGAGGGAAGGTGGGGTGAAAAGGGGGAACTGATCACAAGAATCTACATGTGCCCTTCTCCTTGGGGGGACAGACAACAGAAAAGTGGGTGAGGGGAGACGTTGGACAGGGCAAGATATGACAATAATAATTAATAAATGATCAAGGGTTCATGGGGGGGGAGCCGGGGAGGGAGGGAAGAAAAATGAGAACTTGGTGCCAGGGGCTTAAGTGGAGAGCAAATGCTTTGAGAATGATGAGGGCAATAAATGTACAAATGTGCTTTAGACAATTGGTGTATGTATGGATTGTGACAAGAGTTATATGAGCCTCTAATAAAATGATTTTTTTAAATTGCTTTATTTACCTTATAAATTTATCCTATGGAAATCGCCATCAAAATGATATAAAGAATAATTTGAAAAAATTTCCACTAAAGTAATTTGTACTATACATTCTGTCATGGAAAAGCTACCATATCCTGAAGTGAATTCGACTCTTGTAAAAGAATGGTTTACATCCATAGTACAATTTATAATTTTTAAAAACTTAACAGAAGCAGCCAGTTCCATGCTCTTGCGGTTGTTTTTTAGTTACAGACTTTGACTCAGTCGTCTTTTCTCTAATATTCATTTTCCCAAACCCAGAACCTCCCAGACAGTGAACCTTTCCCTCTGTTGCAAAGGGTTAGAGCAGTGGTTCTCAACCTTCTTAATGCCGCTGCCCTTTATTTTTTATTTTTTATCATTTTATTAGGGGCTCATACAACTCATCACAATCCATACATACATCAGTTGTGTAAAGCACATTTGTACAGTCATTGCCCTCATCATTCTCAAAATGTTTGCTCTCCACTTAAGCCCTTGGCATCGGCTCCTCATTTTCCCCTCCCTCCCCGCTCCCCCTCCCTTATAAACCCTTGATAATTTATAAATTATTATTTTGTCATATCTTGGCCTGTGTGATGTCTCCCTTCACCCACTTTTCTGTTTGCCGTCCCCCCAAGGAGGAGGTCACATGTAGATACTTGTAATCGGTTCCCCCTTTCCAACCTACCCTCCCTTTACCCTCCCAGTGTCTCCACTCACACCACTGGTCCTGAAGGGATCATCCATCCTTGATTCCCCGTGTTTCCAGTTCCTATCTGTACCAGTGTACATCCTCTGGCCTAGGCAGACTTGCAAGGTAGAATTGGGATCATGATAGTGGGGCAGGGCGGAAGCATTTAGGAACTAGAGGAAAGTTGTATTTTTCATCATTGCTGCATCGCACCCTGACTGGCTCATCTCCTCCCCGAGACCCTTCTGTAAGGGGATGTCCAGTGGCCTACAAATGGGCTTTGGGTCTCCACTCCACACTCCGCCCCCCTCATTCACTATGGTAAGATTTTTTGTTCTGATGATGCCTGATACCTGATCCCTTCGACACCTCATGATCACACAGGCTGGTGTGCTTCTTCCATGTGGGCTTTGTTGCTTCTGAGCTAGATGACCACTTGTTTACCTTCAAGCCTTTAATACCCCAGACACTACTATCTTTTGATAACCGGGCACCATCAGCTTTCTTCACCACATTTGCTTATTCACCTGCTTTGTCTTCAGTGTTTGTGTCAGGAAGGTGAATGCTGTGCCCCTTTAATACAGTTTATTTTCGTTGCTATTTCATAGCTTTGATTTTGCTACTGTTATAAATCGGGCGACCCCTGTGAAAGGGTCATTTGACAAACACACACACACACCCAGTGATTGCGACCCCCAGGTTGAGAACCGCTGGGGTTAGTGTCAAGGGTTCAGTGTAGAGACTAAGCATGGAAGGGAGGGATTCAGACAAGTACTAGAGAGGAGAGGTTCAAAGAATTGAGTGAGCAGGAGCCATCCTGTTCTCTCTGCTGGCCCCAGGCCTCACCCTGACAGTTAATGGTTCCTGTAGTGTTTTTCAGCCTTTTCATGATTATCCAGCATTGCCTCTTGGGGCTGATATTTAATGTTTCATCTATGACCAATGGTTTTCTTCAGTTATGTGTTTTTTTTAACCTTTTGATACCCCACATTTCCTCTATGAAAATTGTGCCACCTCTTTATTCCTGTCCTTAAACACGCCCTCCTGAAGTTGCCCTCTCTGTTCAGGTCAGAGTATTTGGTAATGCCATCTGCTTTGTGGTTCTTTGCAGCCTCTGGGCTACGGGCCTCGCATGCAGCAGCCTTCCAACCAGAGCCAGTTCCTTCCCCAGACTCCGTTCTCAGCTCCGGGAATGAATGTATCCAGTATGCCTTTGGGGCAGTCCAGCGGGCAAGCACCTGTGTCACAAGTATGTCTCACAAGTGGGAAGGAGCAGAGCATGTGTTTGAAACTTGTTTGGGTTGAAGTTTTTTCAGGGAAAAGTGACAGCAAATAATGACAGTTAATTTCTGTTTTAAAACAGGAACAATTAGGGCATATATGTGAATGTGTAACGAGATTGCTCTGCGACATAACACTGATAGTTTTTACAAACTAGGAAATAGGTTAAATTAATTGTAATTATTTTTTGAACTACAAAGCATCCTTTTAAATTGACATCTTAAGAACTGCAATGTAAAGGAGGAGGGACTGACTAAAGAGATCTCAGTAGGGTCCCAGAAGATTGGGTCCACAACTTTCCCATCCCCTATAGTAGCTCAAATTCTTTTGCAAAATGGCTTGACCTCTGCTTTGTTTAGTGCTATATTGATTGTGTTATCCAAGTATAAACCTCTAGTAGTATTTAACACCTTTTAAACTAGAAACATTGCCAGTTTTTATTTTAATCAGTCTATGTCTTAAATGTGAAAATTTGTTGTAAACTTGACATCTTGCTTTTTCCCCCCTCCCTGTTTTAACAGGCACAAATGTCCAGTTCTTCCTGCCCAGTGAACTCCCCTATAATGCCCCCAGGGTCTCAGGGGAGTCACCTTCACTGCCCCCCACTTTCTCAACAAGCCCTGCATCAGAATTCACCCTCCCCTGTACCAAGTCGAACCCCAACCCCTCACCATACACCACCAAGCATAGGAGCTCAGCAGCCACCAGCAGCAGCAATTCCAGCCCCAGTTCCTACTCCTCCAGCAATGCCACCTGTGCCACCATCCCAGGCTCTCCACCCCCCTCCAAGACAGAGTCCCACCCCACCAACAACGCAACTTCCTCCTCAAGTTCAACCTGCACTTCCTGTTGCCCCTTCGTCTGACCAGCCCCAGCAGCAGCCACTTTCCCAGCAGAGTACAACGGCGGCCTCTTCCACACCAACAAGCGCTTTGCAGGCCCCACAGCCGACCTCTCCAGTAAGCATGGGGTCTGGACAGAGTCATTGCGGCTATATGTCTGTACAATATGTCTTTTCTTTTTGTTCTCTCTGCTCTCATCTCTTTATTATCTCAGCATTTTCACCCAAATCAGTTTTGCATTTTGGACTTTGCTTTCCTTGATGTGTACCTAGCATGGAATGAACTCAAAGATACTTGCTTAGGTCTGCCTTTTACTATAGTGCATTTCCTGTTGTGTTCTGACACATGAAGGAGAGGTGATAAGCAGAGCCCCCCTCCTATCATGTACTACTTACTGTGTGAGCTAGAGTAGGCCTTCATAAATGTCTTATTTGAGAGAAATTTGCAACAGGGAAAAACACTGTCGGATCGAGGTTTATCCATTGCACTCCTGATGTGCTGACCCCTGCGATTTCCCCACATGTAAAAAAAAGAAACCCCTCCAATTCGTTGATTTGTTGTTATTTTTCTACTTAATTTTAGTCGTTCCACATTTGTTATGTTATCCCATGTCAAGACCCACAGCTTTGAGCTTCTTAAACTCAGATAACATTGAAAGCACAGTCTAAAGTGAGAGAACTGTCTTGAACAATTTGTAGCTTTTTTGGTATGAGATTGGTTATCTATGTGCCAGAAATCCAAATTCTCTCTACTGATTAAATCC